TCTTTCCCTTTGTGTTCGTCATTTTGGTTAATTACTGGAAGATGGCGGTTCCGGCCAAAAGGCTTGAGTATATTTTTTTAGGTATTTTGTAAGCACTTCAGTATATTTTGCTATAGTTATTTATCACCGTGCACACATTTGTGGGTAAACTGACCCAGGCTGTGTTCCGGTGGGTGTCTCTGATGACCGTGGCTGGACTTGCTGCATACTATCTCTGAGTTTGCATACCAGCTGAGAATTGTCCAGTCCATCGTGGGCTCTGAGTGGGCACCTCTGTTCCATATGTCTCTCATCCTCCCACCTTTAAGCTAGCCTAGGCATGTGCTTCTTTTGAAAATGGCAGAAGTACTAACATGAAAGTGGAAACATGAAGCCTCTTATGGCCTGAGCTTAGAGCAGGGAAACTGGCACCTTTGCTTTATTCTTTCAGCCAAAACTAGTTCTTGGCCAAATCAAGGGACTGGGAAATAAACTCCACCTGCACAGTGGGAGGGAATGCAAAGTTGCTTTGCAGAGGGGTGTGGCATGAATGGACAGAGGCAAAGAATTGGGGCCAGTGATACAATCTGCTCCACACTCACGCATCTCTGTGGCTACCTCCCCCACCAGACACCTATTTTGCTCTCTTTATTTCTGGTTTTAGTTAATGGTACCATGCTATGCCTAGTCACCCAAGTCAGAAGTACTATTTAGACAGTATTTTCATATTCTCCCCTTTTCCTTCTTTAGCATTTTCTTTGTAATTACTTCTCTATCATCTTTTTTCAGCCTTGTTACCATCGCTGCTGTGGTTCAGGCTCTTACATTTCCTCTGCTTCCTTCACATCCATCCCCCAACCTTGCTCCTTCAAATATGGATGGCACCCCTATTCACTGGCTTCTCACTGCCTCTTGAAGAGTCTGTCTGTGTTCTAGATTTTCCAAGCTCGTCTTCCACTGTTCTGGCCTTACGCTCTGCCCTTTTGGTTTAGGAGTCATCAAACTAAGGCCAGTGGGCCAAATCTGGCCTAGAACCTTAGTTTTGTAATGGTTCAAAAGAGTAGTTTTCACTTTTTAAAATTTTTTTGCCAGGGAGCATGTGCGCTCTCCAGGCAAAGAGAGTACACATCCAAGAAAGTACCTCGTAGTGGGACACGATCTAGCAGCAGTCCTTTCCCTTCATTTCCTCATCCCGTGAGGATTTGGGGCATGTACGCACATGTGCTCAATGTGTTTTTCAAGTTGCCAGGGCTGGGGTTTGAACTCCTGTCAGCCATGTGGGATCTCGCTCCCTATCCATAGCATTAAACCACTGTGCTAGAGGGCTAGGCCTACATTATTTCTTATTTTTTTAGCTACAGGGTGCATCGGAGCCGGGGTGAGCAATCACCTGCCAGGTGGGTGGCCACGCCACAATCCCTTCTCCATTCTCCTCTTGGGATTAGGGGCATGCATGCAGGCACCCTGGGTGTGTTTTTAAGCTGCTGAGCCCAGGACTCAATTCTTTAATTGGCCATGTGGGATCCAGCACCTTAACCTCTGTGCTTCCTGCTTGCTCCTTAATTTTTTTTTTTTAATGAATATACAACAGAAAAGTAGTATGGTGATACATGGAAATTATGAAATTCAAAAATCAGTAATCATAAGTAAAGGTTTATTGGAATACAGCTATGCTCATTCATTTATGTATTACCTATGGCTGTTTTCACATTGCAATGGTAGATTTGAGTCATTGTGACACAGATCATATAGCTCACAAAGCTAAAACATTTGGCTTTCTGGTCCTTTGTAGAAAAACCAATCCAGACTCTAGAAGTTTCTTTCTTTTTTTTTTTTTTTTAAATAATTATTTAATTTTATTTATTTATTCATTTATTTTAATTTGACCAGAGAGAGAGAGAAAGTGAGAAAGCAAGCCACCAGGTCTGGGACTCGAATCGTGGTCACTCATGTGGGAGTCCAGGACTTTAACCACCACTCCACCTGCTGGTCCCCAGAAGTTTCTTATCTTCTAGAATTCTTCAATACCTCCTACGTTGGATTGTCTTTCCATAGGCTCCAATAGTGTTTTCCTAGTACTTAGCATGTTATATTGAAATTATCTGTCTGCATGTCTGTTTGGTTGTACTATTCTTCTGGGGAGCAGCATCAGTGTCCAATTCAACTTTATATTGACTACAACAGTATAAAAGTTCACTTAAGGGGCCGGCAAGTGGTATGGTGGTTAGGGGTGCTGGACTGCCACATGGTTGACCTCAGTTCAAGTCCTGGACCTGGCAGCTTGCATTCTCACTTTCACTCTGTCTGTCCCTCTGTGGTCAAATTTAAATAAATAAATGAAGTTAAATAAAACAACTCTTTTTAAAAAAAGCTCACTTAATATTTGTTGATTTGGGCAAACTATAATGTAATCTATGGTTTTGAATGAAAAAGCTTTCGTCTTTTATTTTTATCTCTGTTTTATGTGTATTGGTTTTTTTAAAAAATGTCTTTCAGAATACATACTGCTATAATTAATCGTCAGTTTACCTTTTTTTTTTTAAGGCCTGCAAAAAAAACAAGAAAAGGTGTCAAAGAAAAGGCATCAGATGAAAAAAAAGATGAGATAGAAAAAATAAAGTCATATCCCTACATGGAAGGTGAACCTGAGGATGATGTCTATTTAAAACGCTTATACCCAAGGCAGATATATGAAGTAGACAAAGCTATTCATTTACTTAAGAAATTTCAAGTTCTGGACTTTACTAGTCCAAAGCAAGGTGTTTATCTTGATTTGACATTGGATATGTCACTGGGACAGAAGGTATGTAGACTCAGTTAAAATAAGTTTATTTGTGACAGTGGCTGCAGAAATTAGTGTTTCTTAATTATGTAAATTTTTGTTTCCCAAAATATTAGAAAATTTCTTGTTCTTTCTGTGCTTTAGCATGAATGCTATGTTTGTTTTTTAATTTTCTAAATATAAAATGTTATGTTGAAAACTCTCTGTGGGGACCAGCAGTTGGTGTAATGGCTATGTGGCTGGACTCCCATGTAGTTGACTGTGGTTCGAGTCCTGGACCCAGTGACTTAAACTCACCCTGG